CCGCGCCATAGCCCAAGCGGTTAGTCGCTGGCTTCCCACCGCGGCGGCCCGGGTTCGATCCCGTGTCTGGTCAAGTGGGATTTGTGGTGGACAAAGTGGCGCTGGGGCAGGTTTTCTCCGAGTACTTCGGTTTCCCGTGCCAATCTTCATTCCACCAATTGCTCCACAATCACCCGATTGTTTATCGGCATAAATTAATAAAGCGTAAGAATCTGCTGCAAAGTGCAACATTAAAAATGTTACTTCAAGTTCTGCAAGGCGCACATACATGTATATGCTTCCGACTTCAGCTATGGAGTCAAGTCTCGTTGCACTTTCTTTCAGGTGCCAGAAACTGTAAATTAAGCGCAGAAAATGTGAAAAGGATTATTCCAAATTCCGCCCCAATCGTCAAATCACGTCATAAATACTTTAAATTTTCTATTTATGAGAACAGATTTAGTGGAACTTAATTCTCGAGTCAGACATCTCTTGTCGCTGCTTGCTGCTCCCATCAGCCTTGGCACCCGTCTCCGGTTTTATGCTACACCTCGACACGGCATAGGCGCGTATGTATAAACCTCGGCCAGAGCCGTCAACATTCTTCAAGTATAAAACATCAAAAACACCGGCCTCGCTGATGGGTCTTTTAGTGAGATGGCGACAACCCTCTTCATATGCGCTTGTATACTAGATTATTTTATTTTATTTCATTTGCAATAAATGAGAAATAGATAAGAAAGGAAACTGAAGTGCTAGAAGAACACATAAATATAAATTCTGCAGTGTTTGTTAAACTGCAGAATGAAGAACTTCACAACTTGTACTTTTCGCCAAGTATAATTAGAATGATCAAGACAAGGAGGATGAGATGCGCAGGGAATATAGCACGCAAGGGGGAGAAACGGAAGGCATATAAGATTTTGGTGAGAAAGCCAGAAGGAAAGAGACCCCTAAAAACTTATAGAAGTCGGTGGGAGGATAATATTAAGATGGATCCTAGAAAGATGGGGTGAGATTATATGGACTGGATTGATCTGGCTCAGGACAGAGACCACTGGAGAATTCTTTTGAATACGGTAATGAACCTCCGCATTCCATAAAATGTTGGGAAGTTTTTGAGTACCTGAGCAAGCGGCGGCTTCTCAAGAAGGACTCAACTCCATTAAGTTAGTGTTTGTTATAAGCATTATACTTCTGTATATAATTTATTGGGGCACGATGTAGCTAGTTGGTTGAGGCACTATGCTACCACACGGAAGGTCACGGGTTCAATTACCGCTGAGGTCACTGGACTTCTCAATTAATCTAACCATTCCAGCCGCACCATGGCCCTGGGATTGACTCATCCTCTAACAGAAATGAGTATCTGAAATCTTCCTGGGGTGTAAACGGCGGCTGGCCTTTTTTTTAGCAAAAATAATTGTAAATACAAAATAAAAGCCTAGGTAATGCCCACCTGGCCCTCTGCAGCACAGTCTTATAAACATCTTACTCTATTACAGTGGCCTCCCCGCGATTCTGAATGTCTTAACTTAAATCTGATATTATGCTCTCATTTTTTGTACATTTGCTCATTTTTCTTGCATTACATGTCTATTTTGAAATAAATATAGGAATGTTGTTTATGAAGTAACAGACGCCTTTACACAAATCTTTTTTCTAGTCTTAAGAACTCTGTAACTCACTTTGAATATACTTTGGCGGGCGGCTTGTAAGGCTGACAACTTCACCGCCATCTGTGAGCTGACTTTATAGAACATATGTGAGCCTCGACGTCTCACAACCCTATGATCCTTCTCAACCTCTTACAGGGATAACCCTAAAATACTATAATATTAACGCCTTAAATACTGATTTTCTCCTGCATTATATACAACTGAAGTCATTGCAGCATTTCCGCTAACTGTACATATAAATTGGGTCTTCAGAAAAAATCGAATAAACCATGAACTACCCACCTTTATTATTATTATTATTATTATTATTATTATTATTATTATTATTATTATTAACATCTCTTGTCGCAGGTTTATTTCCTGGTATTCCTTTTCTTGAACCAGTGATGCACCTCACCACTCAGGCTTCAAACTTCGCACTGTAGCACTTTCCGTAGTATGTGTGATGTTCCCAGGATAGCTGTTTTTTGCAGTGAATCTATGGAGTGNTTTACCCCCGGTGGCAGTAAATCGTACACTGATACAGAAAAGGAAAGACTATAACATAAAGAGAACAACACAAACTAAGTATATACACAAAAAGCAAGGTACACATAGTGCAAATCCAAACATATACAGTTATAAAAGGGCACATGATTGTGTTCATTTCACTGCACTCAAATAAGGACACTTCACATTACTTCACTTGTTTACTTAAATTAAAAAATGCAGTCAATAAAGTCACTATTGTAGAGTGCTTTTGCAGCCCCTAGTATTCAGTCACAAGGTAAAACATGTGGAGAAATAACATTGCTTGTAAAATATATGTCATTTGAAAAAATATTTTTAATTGTTTGTATTACAATTTCAATTATATATTGGAGCACAAATTTCTAAACAATATTTAAGAATCCAGTTCATACCTTATAGGAAACACTGCATTTCAATTAAAAACACCAGTCAGTTAATGCTGTTTAGGCAAATAATTTTTGTTTATTCTAAGAATCATATAAAACACAACATACATTCTCTGCACAAAAAGTAGAGCTTTTTAATGTTAAAAGAACGATATATATATTAAACATTGTGACTTAAAAGTTTAAAGTTCAGAACATTGACATGTACTTTGAATGTTCTTCCTACACATTTCTGTTATAATTATGGGCACACATTTAATTAGTTGCATGTGTTCTGTTTAACACATCTCAGGAATAATGATGAATATATAATTATTAGTACTCACAAGCTAATAAGAAATTATAAGAAAGAAAACAGAAATAATATTATTCTTACAGTAAAACATGAAACGTTTCTGAATATACAATTTGGCATCCCAACAGATTCCATCTGAATTACTGTAGGTCTGTTATTGAGCACTTTTCAAAATCAAAATACAACACTCATATACAGAGTGTCCCATGAGGAATGTGCCAGACTTTGGGAGGGTGTTCCTTATGTTAAAGTATGCCGATATAACCCAAAACACCCATGTCCAAAGTTGAATGGTTACGGAGATAATGGCCAGAGAAGTGTGAAACTTTGACTGGTGTTACACACTTGTTGATTACCAAATACATATTAAAACTGGCAGGAATATGTGGTTTCTGTAATTTTAAAAATGTACATAACATCAAACTAACTTGTGACTGACATGAAGCCATTAAACTGAACTACAAAAAAACTCGCACGCCATGTCAAAGTCGTCGTTAGGGTTCCAAGCACTATACATGACACATGAATGGCAAGCACTGAGGTAACGTTGCTGACTGCGCATTCTGGTATGCGAGTGCGTGGGGCTAACGTGAGCCGTCATCACCACACTCAAGGACAAACATCGATAAGACTAATCAGCTGACAGGTAGAGTGCATGGACCCGCCAGAAGACCACACTTTTCTCGGGCCATTATCTCTGTAACCGTTCAACTTTGGACATAGGTGTCTTGGGTTATATTGGCATACTTTAACATAAGGAACACCCTCATGAAGTCTGGCACATTCCTCTTGGGACACTCTGTATATCTAAATATATATATATATATGGATTTTAAGATTAATAGCTCTACAGCATGAAGTTTAAGGGGAAGATCAAGTAGACAATGGAAAGCTGATTTTGAGTTTGGCAAGCATTGACGTAGTGGAGTATTATGCACAGTGGAAAGATTATCACACTTATGTAGGCATGTAGGTCATTATTAAGTCATGAATGTCACTCTTTTTGTTCTCCTGTCTGTGATGACCTGTACTTTACAAAAGTATACTGCTGCTTGTTACTTAAGTGACTTTCTGTTTAACCCTGAAGTTGAGGCAGTAGGTTTCAATGAAACATCAGTAACCTTCTGCCACAATAACACATCCCAGACAAGCTATCACTCCATATACACTACCATAAAAATCTCAGATCTCATATTATATGATACCTCTTTTAATCTTAATCACTTAACTGACATGTGCACTTAGTGCCTTGCAAGAAACAAATAATGAATTATTGTTTTTTTTTATATATTCACATTCTGACAAAGAATAGTCTGACATTACACATAGTTTCTCTTACTTAATGTCATAGCACTGCATACAGAGCACTGGATAAATTATATGGAGGTCAATAAAAAAACAGAGGTGGACATAAATGAGATGTGTTTTAAACAATTCTCTGTGGTCACCTAGCAATCAGATCAGAGATGGAGAAATAAAACTAGAGAGATGAGTCCCCAGAAGGAGCTAATGAATTGCATATCTCTTATCAGTTACATGAGACACATGATGTATTGTCTTTAAATAATATGCTATATAATATATACTTGGTCATTTATAAATAACTCTGGAATAATAGAGAATATGTAGAATGGAAAAGTGCTTGAATTTTAATAATATAAAATATGAGAGGTTTCTTCTTTGATAACCCAGTCACATGTTATGCTGAACTATTCTTGTACTGAAGGGAAGTTTCAGAATGTAGTTGTTGTCATAAAATTTGTCTCATTTTCAACAGAAACTAAGGTATCTGAAAATTGTTTAAATTTCTGTCAAACAAGATCTTTTTGTCGTGAAATGATCTGGTGCTCTGTTAAATCTCAGTTTGTCAGAACTAACGAAAATACCGTGAAGATGGACAGAGTCTAACAATATATAACACTATGCATTTTACCCATCATTAAAGATTAACGATCCACGTGTAATTTTACAGCTGATGTCCTAATAATGTGAAAGTCTAAGTCTAAAACTAGCAATTTAATTGAATTATCTTCTTGTTCCCCATAATGATATGACATGTTTCACTAATTCCATAGCATCTCACTAGACACTTCATATGAACCACGTCTGAGGGAATTTGTATCTTGGAAGAGGGAAGTAAATGGATGCAAATGTGGTTGTTTCCTGTTTATTCAAATATAGCTTACATAATCTACAAAAGTAACCAATTGCCAACATGTTTTCTTAAGGGCTTGATGTATTTAACGACATATTTTACAGGATAAAAGATCACAGTCATGTCAACTTCTTTCATTTGGACAGGAAATGTCAAATCTTCTAAACTTTATTTTGCATACCTTATATTTCAGTTTTAGAGATCAGTAACAATGGAGTCCAGGCATGAATGGCTGACTACTGGTGGTACATACTTTTGTGCATGTGATACTTCATGAATCACATTAACACTTAGCCTTAATTTGTGTCTTTGGTTTTGTATGATTTTAATAATTGCTGAGTATAAGTTAATAAAATATATTCAAACATGAAATTGTGCACTTAACTTTTATTTACTCTTTCATTTTTCATTCCCTCTTTTTTTATTTATTATGTTTAAGCTGGATTTGATATGTAAGTTCTCAAAATAGTTTTTTTAACAGAAACCTTTTTCTTACATCTATGGCTTACAAAAATGAAGACTTTCTGTAGTTCTAACATTAACTTTTGTGTTAATCCACTGCATTCATAAGACAACAAATTTCTGTTCACAGATGTGTCTTAACACAATGACTATAAATAATTGTCCAAAAGGGCAAAAACAAATAAGCCTAATTATCAGGAATGAAGGGTCTTGAAATAAGTTAGAGTAATCATGGCAGCTACTACTCTGTTGACTGCTTAAGTACATCTCTGAGGTTGTAATAATATTAGAAACTTATCAAAACAACAATGGATAATTTTCCGTTTTCCATACATACTTATGTACAGTCAATATGGTCCCCTATGCAGCACTTCGTTGCATCACACATTATCTTCATCCATTAAGATTCCATTCCCACCATTAGATCTCACAATCTGTAAAAATGAACAATAAATCCATCGTCAACAATTTTATTACTTCAGAAGAAGAAGCAATTTTATCTTAATACATAAATATCATTTTGTTTCCAATTTTTTTTTTATAAAATACTAAAACTTCGACAGGAACTAAAAAAACATGCACAAACTCTGCACTAAACATCCATTGCTACATTGAGTACAAAATAAAATAATGAAACCATGATATAGGGGCAGATAGAAGTGACCAGAAGACGAGGAAGAAGATGTAAGAAGATGCTGGATGACCTTGGGGACGGAAGAGGATATTTTCATTTGAAGGAGAAAGCTCTAGATTGCATCAAGTAGAGGAACTGTTTTGGAAGAGACTGTGGACCTGTTGTCTTGACAGATTACAGATGAATGAATGAAATCATGATGCTAGATAACTTTTCAGTTGATAAAAGAATAAAATAATGGAATAAATTAATAATTAACAAAGTTTCCATATCTGTACCATTTTCCGAAGTAAAATAATTACTCACTTGCTTTAAGTCAGCTAACTACTTCAAAACTGTCAAAAGTAATCTTACATGTGATTTTTCAGTATGGATGATATTAATGAACACACATTTTGGAACCAAGTTTTAATGGAATCTCAAGTGAGTTCTTGAATTTAATAATAAAATTCAGACTAAAATTAATTGACAAGGCTACTTTAAATATAGTTCATATTTATATTCAGTAACATTTATTAGTACAAGGCATGAAATTCTGAAGGGAGAGCCACTAATTAGATTGATTTTCACCCCTTCTGTAGCATATTATTTCTAATAAACTCTCAGTCAGTCAAGGTTATTTTAAGTATGATTTAGACATGAAAAGAATTCCTTCCAGTCCCAGATACCTGGCTTTTGGTGTGATCCTACTGTAGCTGGGGACGTACAAAACAAAACAAAACAAAACAAAAATGTTATTATAAGAATATGGATTTTTAGTATGTGATGATGTGAAGTTTGGTAAAGATACACCAAAGATTTGGCATCTGTCTTCTTCTAACACATATGTTCCAAACTACATGACAGTGCACCCTACAAGACTGAGGTCTTAATACTTACCACTGTGAGAACTAATATCTCATAATATCGTTACAAATTTTAATAAAACAATCACACTCTATTTTGACATACGAAGTTTCTCTGCATAATCGCCATTTTCCTTTGTGTACTTGGTCCAGCAGTCCATGTATTTCCTACTCTTGTCAGAGTTAAACTTCTGTTGTTGCCATCATCATAAGCAATGCTTACAAGGCTTCAATTCTTCTCATCACTGATGGATAATCTCAGGCTTGAAGCTTCAATCAGAGCTCCGGAAAGATGAACATTGCATTAGACAGGTCTAAGTCAATATTCTGTGGAAAATTTTGGATGACTTCAAACTTCTTGTTGTCAGTGATAATATAGTATGAGGAGCCACATGAGTGAACATTATTATGGAGCAAACTCACTTTTGGAAAGAGACTGCTACATTCTGATTAAAGTGTCAGTCACTATATCCAGTGCCAGCAACTGCTGTTCTTCTCTCATGAAATTTATCCCATATCAAACCAGTGGAATCTTATAAAGCTTAAAATCATTCTTCGTTGTAAAGTGTGAAAGAATTTGTGCTTTCTCTGCATTGATTATTTTTCATATCTCATTCCAGTCATTATGCAGCTAATGAAAGTCTCAGCTGCATAAAATCTAGACACAAGATTACATCAACCATGCAAAAAACTGTATCAGATCAGCAATCAGATTATAAATTATTTGTAAGTAGCAAGGTTTTCCATTATTCTCCAATCTAGATATTCCTGCAATGAGTAAAAGGAACCAATATGGAGAACTTCTTTCAAGGCATGTTTTAACTTATCAACATCATTTGTCATGTTCTGAAGATTCCGTGGTGAAATATTAAATATCATAATCCCGGAACAGTAGATGCTTATCTTGAATCTGCTGACTGGCCAGCACCATAATTTCAACAAATGTTACAATCAATGGTTGTCCAGAATGAGCATCATCAGCATCACACATCTACCCTCATTTGAATCTTTCCACCCATTTTTGTACTTTCCATTGGCTCACACACACACACACACACACACGTGCGCGCGCACACACACACACACACACACACACATACTGATCAGTGATTCTTTGCATATTTCACTGTTTCCCACACTGCCTTGTCAGTGTACAAATGAAATTAGTGATAGAACAGGATTTAGATTTTTGCATTTACCACTACTGTTGAAAAATTATTCTGATTGCACATAAATATAAATTACTTTTTCCTCTATGCTTTAAACGTTCATCATTCTGAAAAAAGTGCCCATAAATTTCTAGATTTCAATTATTTGTGCATCTTATATTACATATAAAGCTTTTCTTCTGTGCAAAGTTTTTAGGAAATTGATTGTATTTCCATGTAAAGTAGGCATTGTATTTGACAAAATTAAATTTGCTTGACAACACCTAGTTTAACATCCCAGTACCAAGTGTCACAGAATTGAATGTACTAGTTTCAGAGCAACAAACAGACATGCAGACAAGATGGATGTTATATGTATTCACATTGTAAAAATAAATATAAAAAGTTCAATCTGGAGTCACAGAGACGTTTTTCTTTCCGCTTCATGCTGACTTTCTGTATAGTGAACATTTTAATGATGTACATGCTATGCAAAGACTAGACATACATAGCAATATGAATAAAATCCATCCATTTAATCAGGTTCAGACATTAGTGAGGTGCACATACTTCACACATGGCCATACAGACGGACAGATACTTTCACAAGGATTACTTTCCGCATTCCGGAGCGCAGAAAACATGTAAATTCGTCAACATCTGCCAGTAGATTATTTTCTCGATCATGATAATAGGTGCATCAGTCATCATTCAATAATGGAGCTGAGCCCTTCTTGAGAAGCCGCCAATTGTGCAGCTACTCAAGAAGTTCCCAGCGTTTTATGGAACCTAAAGTTTCATTACTGTGTTCACAAGAGCCTTCCACTGGTCCGTACTGTGTGTTTGAGAAAGTAAATTTCTGAATTCTGTAAAATTGTGCGTCAGTTTTCCAATGGAACACAGGAATGGCTTAGCAGGCTTTGAATTCTCTGTGGTGCACAGCTGATCAGAATCTATAATTGTTCGTATGATTTCGATCAGGTATTATTATGAATAAAGCAGATCTACACGATATAAGTTGGTAGTAGAAAGAAAGAGCAGACTGAACATAAATGAAAGAAAGGATTTCAGTTCTCAGTGCAGAAAACGAATATCATGGTGTACTTTATTAATCTGAAAAGAGATGTAAAAATAATGAAAACATATATTAAATGATTTTAAATAACATATCATGCTTAACATGAATACACAACATTTCACAGGACATGATAAAGAAATTAACCTAACCTAACCTGACGTACCGAAACCGTGGTGGCTGTACAAGAATTGGCTCGTGGTCGAAACATTAAATGCTGCCATCTTCGCTTAATTTGAGCAACAACCTGAAACATACAACACACAAAATTTATAGGAAAGTTTTTATAGTTTCACTATTCAATTTAATTTTTGCATTAATATTTCCAATATAGAAAATGTCTCATCTCTTATGTGATAACTACTTTACTTTTACTGTGAAATCTTATGTCGTGAGTAAAATCTATAGAAATGAGCGGTAGTGATGCATAAAATTAATCAAATCTATGTGTCTGTGTACTGAAGAATATTTTGTGTAGTGTTAATGAAATGAAACAATGTATTATATCATGGTACTCTGCGTTATGATCCCGTGAAGTCTGGTAGATGGGTACAAATATTTTGGAGGGATATAATGCCATCTTCAGGATAGAAATACCAAAGTTTCAGGAGAGCATACCACTTTCACGTTCAGTTTAAAAGGACTTATATTCTAAAAAGGGATGCAGTGTGATCATTCAAAATATTACTGTTCTCTTATAAGACTAAATCATTTTGAATTGTTATCATGTTATAACCCAGATAATCATAATGCGAACTTTCACCACCATAAGAACCCCAAATATTATACCAAATAATTATACAGCATTTCATGGGCTATCACATCCACTGTATTATTATTATTATTATTATTATTATTATTATTGAATATACAAATAAATATAGATGTTATGTTGCCATAATGCTATTATTTTATTTCTATAAAGTAAGTACTCCAGTAAGGGTTGTGTTGTGAGATTTTCTCCTCTGGCCCACTTATAAATAAACTATTTTAGGTAGCCCCTTAAATTAATAATGGCTGGAGTCATGTGACATTGCTCTACAAAGCAAACAAACCCACAGGCTTTGATACATGGCACATAATTTAGTCTAATGGAACCTGAGGTTAAGTGTGTTACTAGACTCAAAACCAAGTCAACATAAACTCACACTTACAAAATATATTTTCTCTCTTGTCTCATTTAATATTATACTCCTTTTGTAATTCAAAGTGTAGTTTTTGACAGTGTTTGATACAAGCGTTTGTATGTTTCTCAGTTCCTGTTTATTACACTCCCTGCCCTGTATTTGGTTTCTTCATTTAAGCAACCTAACTGTATCAGATAATCAACACTATTGATAGTTGGAGTCCCATTAAGCAACATTTTATTTTATAACTGTTAGTCATTCAGGAGATTCTCATTAATACAGTGTTTCAGACATTTTGACTTTTTATTCTACAAAATGACAGAATAAGTTCTTTTCTGCTTCTTGCTTCAATTTCCTTTTAAGTGTTCCTAGTGCCAATTATCCATTTCTCACAAAGTACTGCATCTAGACATAAATGCAGGTTGCAAGATTATAGTTGTCTATTTATTACATTCTGTATTAAAATGGAGTTTGGGCAAGAAGGTAAATACTTCAGACCAGAAACATTTTCGACTTGTCTGTTCTTAAATTCATTGTAATGCTATTATTTGTTTGTTATTTGCAATTCTAACATTTAATATATTTATAAAATGCGGTATTTAAATATTGCCCCACTTATAGTGATGTTAATATATATTTTATCCTATATTGATGATGAAAATAGCATATTACCTCTCCATTGCAGAAGCAAAACAGCGTTGCAACACAGAGACCCTGCAACATAAATATCATGATAAGAACTCTGACGTACACATGTTAGCCAAATTATTGCCCATAGTAAACAAAAAATTATGGGAAGAAATTACGACATCTGCTTTCAATAAAATAGTTCAATGCATACACATATGGTGATGTTGGAAATTAATAATTATAAAAGTTAGTGACACATCTGTAAGCTCAATTTCAATTAGTATGAATTACAACTGTTTTCAGTCTTCCTCATAAATCATTTATAAACACAAAGTTTCACACAACTGCCATGTATGTGGCTGTTAACAAATAAAAATGTGTTTCATATAAGATTTATGGGAATGTGAAGAACCTTACTTCATTGAAAATTACCACCATCAAACAAAAGCTACAGAAACATTAATTTGCTAGAGGTCACTAAGTTATTATTTATGGTATGAGTTCTGTTGTGTGTCATAAATAGCGTTACTAAGTCCATCTACACAACAATAATATCCACAAAGAAAAAACAAATAGATACTAACAAATCAACATTCGTTTACTGGGCAGAGGTATTTCACTACCTGTTTCGACTTTCACGAGGTCATCATTAGGCAAATTTTATAAGAATTTGATCTTAGTTTTGGTATTGTGTTCTTTAATATGTATCCATATTATTAAAATTTATTTCAATTTTGATTGATAATACTGGCTTTGTGTTAAATACAATCTAACAAATACACACAATAAATACTATAATAATAAAATATAGTTTTTAATTAATTTAAACATTTTAAGACTAATACATATAGTTCGAATTTAACATTAATAAAGTTAACAGAATTGCTGAGTGTTAGGACTTTTCCATCGTCCGGAATTCTTGGTAATAGAAGACACGACGTTTCGGAAACTGGATCTGTTTCCGTCTTCGGGTGAGGAAGGAAGACACCTACTTAGTTGGGCTCCTTAGAAAGAGCTTATCTCAATCACTGGACAACTCAAGTCAGATTTGTCCAGCTATTTAAACAAATAAGACTATACTAGTTCAGCGGGAGATAACAAGAAACCATAAAATAAAAATTGTGATAGAGCACGCGCATGCGTGGAACTAGGATAGAAAAGGAGGTAGAAATTTGTGTTAGGAAACCTAGCTGACAAATCCAAGTACATGAGCACAAGTGCGAAGAAATTGGAAAAATTGCGAAGACATGTAACAACTAACACTAGCGCCATCTGTGGCGTAAAACCTGAACACTCGAGACTGGAACTTTATGGAAACGCATGAAGAGTCTCTCACGTCATGCAGATCTCTATGAGTTAGATACCTCATTACCAATGAGGAGTATCCATATAGGAGAAGTGTCCAAACTTGGTTGGCTGATTGGACACGTCGTGTCTTCTATTACCTAGAATTCCGGACGATTGAAAAAGTCCCAAAACCCAGTAATTCTGTGTGTCATCCACCGCCGTCAGAACCCTTTAGAAACCAATTAATAAAGTTATTAAAGTAGTTTTATTCTTTAAAGTAAAATTTATTTCTGAAAATTAACTACTCGAATTATATTTTGATTTACAGAGTTAGTTTTAAATAGGCTTAAAATTAGAAGTAGTTTTGCTTTCGTCAGATTTTTTTATGGTCTTAGTTACTAGATGTTAGAGTGTAGGTCGAATCAACGTAAGAGAGCCCTTCTCGGGATTCCTGTTACGTTGATTTTACTTCTAATCGTCGTGTAATGGTTTCCCAAGCGATTTTTCTTCATGTCGCTTTCAGCTAATTTTGTTTTCCATATGTGGAGATTTCTAATGCTTGCTTGATGTGTTCTGTGCGAAGGGAGCCCCGTTGATTTTGTGTTGTTAAAGTTTCAGTTCTGTCTTAGTATCGATTTTGTTTGTGGATATTGCTGTTGTGTAGACGGTCATATTAACGCTATTGTATGACACACAACAGGATGCTTACCATAAAAGAAAAAAGACAATATTCTTAAAAGTTAACTCAGCCCACCAACTGTTAATGCACATCCATCATGATCCTTTTATGCACTACTGTAAAGAACTGATTAGGAATACCTATTCACCCCATTTGCAGCATCAAAAAACGCACGTGCTTGATTGAAACTGACCTGGAATGAAGCTGTAATCGCTGATGTGACTTCATATATGCCCTCCCAGGGATGATTTTCTGACGGGCGGAATGGTGTCACTAGGTAATGTAGCCCCAGAAGTGGCACCAACAACAGGGTTGCCCGTAGAGCCTGCAACATATATCAGCCATATTGAAATATATGACTGCTCCTGGCTACAGCTTTTGTCATGTAAAAATTAATTCAGGTGACGCAGTGAGGCGGAAGATGTATTTAGTCATTATGAAGTAAAATCTTTGTGATTCGGGAGAATATCTTTCAAGCATTGTTCACTAACCCAAATTACGTTGTATCTTCAGCCTGGAAGCCATTATCTTTTCCTGTCACCAGTTCATCTACACTGTTTGGAAGTTATGGAGCCTATATAATGGCTGCCCCCACTCAATAAATGATACAATGTATGAAAGTCAGAGTAATGAGGCCCCAAAGAAAGATATTGTAGCATAATCACATGAAATGCCGGACCAATCTCTTATAAAGCGAGTCTTTCGTCTCGTTTTAAGTGCAGGAAATTAGATTTGTCTCATTCTGGTCCGTCACACTATTAATTACAAGGTAGATTTGTAGATTTTTAATACAATTTTAAATACATAGGGAAGCTATTTTATGGAAAAGTGAACATCACACTGCGTGCAGTGGGAAACCCCAATCGAATACCCAGCAAATACGCTTAAACGAAACATCACACGGAAATCTACACGTCAACGTGGCCGCATAGGGCAAACTGTGATATAGTGAGCACTATTCATAACCTAAGTGCATAATGTTAAAACATCTTATGTGACAGTGTTTCCTGCTCGTAGTGGTGCGCTTCTGAAGATGATTCTTTTGAATCGAAACATGTAAGGCGAATAAAGACTGAAGTGTTGTAAAACCTGTATGTCATACTGGACTAAAAGTTATCTACTTTGCAGGAAATTAGGCAAAAAGTGGAGTAGAATAAATATTAAATATTAAGCCGCGGATAAAGCTTTTCGAAAATACGTGCATTCAGAATTTGAGTTCAAAGTTTGTATATAACTGGATAACAGCATCAGAATCTACAAGACAGTTCGCTGACCGGCTCCGACTTAGATGTAATCTTTATTTATTTAAGTAGTATTTTTTTAATTCTCACTGTGGGGGGGTGGAGTCCAGCTGGGTCTACACGGCACGTCGGCCACTGATTGGCCTACTGTACCTGCCCCGGGTGATTATGATGATGGAGAATTTGGTGGAATAAAGATTGGCGGAGGAAACCGAAGTACTAGGAGAGAACCTGGCCCAGCGCCACTTTGTTCACCACAAAAGCAACTTGACCAGACCCGGGCTGGAACCCGGGCCGCCGCGGTGGGAAGCCTGCGGCTAACCGCTTGAGCTATGGCGCGGCCACGTAATCCGTTCCTCTTATACCTTACGGTGTATTTATTTTTTTCTTTAATTTTTTATCATTTTACAGATGGTATGACTGATAGGACGGGTGATCAGCCCGTCGCAAGGCCTCTACCTAAACACAGGGCAACACAAANCCACCTGTATACGCTGCAACCTAAATAGCTCAAGCGCGTTACTTCCACAATAATACTATTAGCAGTCACTATATTTTAACAATATGTTAAATGCATATTTTCATTTGACGGCCGCAACTTTCTTTCACGATGTATTTCTGAAATACTAGTATGTCGTTACGGCCGGGCACGGTAGCCGAGCGGTCTAAGGCATGTACTGTCTTCGCTCGCTTGGAAACCGGGATCGTGGGTTCGAATCCCACTCAGGCCATGGATATTTAGTTTGTGTGTGTGTGTGCGTTTTTCTGTGTTTATGTAAAGGTAGAGGCCTTGCGACGAGCTGATCACCCGCCCAAGGAGTCCTACCGAATGTGTAAGATCTAGAAAAACCGAAGTGAACGGAGAAGTTCATGGAGGTAAGCCTAGGCCCACTGGGGCTGTAGTGCCAAGGGGGGAAAAAAATGTCGTTACGATATGGTTTAATTGCTCGGGGCACAATTTGCCTTCTTTTGTGAGCCAAGCTGTCCTGTTGATCTGCAGACAGATACGAGAGGATTAGTGGCCCTAATACAAAATAAGCTATACGTTGTCCGTGCCACTTGACGACAGGCTTATCAATACAGGGCTAGATACAAGAACATGTCTGGCAAAATAGTGCACTCCTTAGTCAACTGTGCCTATCCTACGAAATTCTGTTAGCCCTAAAGTTTCTGTAACGATATTTAGACGCCTCGTCACGCTTTTAGCACAAACGTTAAGACGCCGAAATCAATAAATTAATACCTTGTAATTACCACAGTTATTTCTAGCTCTATTTTTGAAACTTAAATTATTAATGTTGTCTCCATTTATCACGTACCTGAACAGTCATGAAATTCACATCTGATTACGTGAAAATCTTCTTCTGACCCATGACAATCAGTATTTAAAAATGTTACTTTCCTTTCATCTACGCCTGGGATCTTTCTACGTTCCAAACCATTTGAAACCCCATTAATCCCTGACAGTGGAAATAAGTCAACATATATATATATATTCATTCATCGATAATCTGTCAGACTATCCAGGAAAGGTGATAATGTTGTAGTTTTTCCATTTGCTTTCCACATCGCAGTACAACAGCCGTTCAAACCACTCTGGTCACGCCTGTTGCTATACGAACGTGAACCATATATATATATATATATATATATATATATACGCTTTTCTGATGCAGCCTGAATCTGCATTATTAGTATTTGTACTTAAATTTGTACCTAAATTTATAACCAAAATTTATACTATTTTTCTTTAGGGTATTGTGTTTGTTTATGTAGGATGTAACTCCCCGTGTTTCATTTAACGCATTAGTAATCATACATGCATGAAATTGAGTACCAGATATGCGTGTACATATTATCCCAGAATATTTAACCCAAATTTCGCTTTTATACCATTGCACCAAATTTCTTTCCACATACAATATTACCTAACTGGATTTTGCTTTATAAATATTTTAAACAGGCCTTTACATCCGCAATGAAAGTAGTAATTGTATTATTCCGGACTGAGAGCTCCACTTTAATCTTATGCTATACATAGTGGCCCAAGACTCAGTAAACATAAAATATTCTTTCGTTTTAACGGGAATGATCAGATTTGAACCTGTCAGTTAACTGTTAGAGCGGTATAAGAATCATTGCGAGATGTGCACTGAGCATGGAGCATTTCGTTCCGAACAACAGCATAAATTCAGCATGTAATAAAGAAATTTCTATTTTATTTTACGCGCAATTTATTTATAGTTAACTGATTTTGGGGTCATTCTTTATATTTTGCCCAACACTGCCTTTGTTACTGGTAGTAATCAGTCACATAAGCACCGGTCGAGGCACCAGAAATCACACAGCATGATTTACACTTGTAGTACAAATGCTTTTTCGGATTAAGAGATGAGATATTGGCCAGTTTTAAGCCTTTCCAGCGTACTATATAGCATTCACTTCTCATGATGACCAATTGCAAGGAGGTCTCCCTGATTCGGAGCAAAATTCGCCATTTTCAGATACTGCTGCGTTCGTTGTTTATGACAACAGAGGCAAAGCCATTCTTTGGATGGTTTGTTTCTTGTTCTGTATCGACGTCGTTGATAACAAAAGAAGATTCGACAGCGTGCTTTTCAAGTTGTGTCTGTGGATTAAAATTTCTCGCTCAATAGATGCAAATAAATGTAATGCAAAAACAGCGCCCGGGACTTGTGAGTGGTGAGGGGATCTCTTGAAGGCAAACAGACCTGTAAAAGGGTGCTGGACGGGCGTGAGGACCCGACGCGGGGCCCGGCTCGCAGTTTGAGGAGAAGTACCCGCAGGATGTTGCAGAGGAAGATGAGGTTCAGCACCATGGAAGCGCACACTGGAACGATGAGCACTATAGTGTATGGGCTTTCGTTAATCCAGCACCTGTATACACACACACACACACATGGGCTTTCCTGTGAAATGCTGAGGTGGATCAAAAACACACAATTCTAAAAATTTTATGTGAAAACAGCAGATGTTGGAACTTATGCTGTGACCATCGTTATCATGCATGGAACATAATAACACAAAAAGCTCGTACATATACAACATGCGTGCGTGAACTTTCCATGTGATTATACATTAATTTATGACATGACGATGTACTTGTGTATCAGTGTTGAAACACGTTTCGTCATAATGTAAACTGAACATTCAAATAGGTCCACACATATTTCAGGTTGCCAAAACCACAGGCAATTTTTGCGTTACAATCCGTCGCGTATCTTGCAGTTGAAATACACGGCTGTTCCACCAGCCTTAACTGATCTTAGATAATAATGTAATCTGTGATTCGTGTATAGGTACAACCCCCCCCCCCACGTCTCTCATAACAACGGATGGGCACCGTATCTTCCCCTGCCAGCAAATGTAACGCATTTACGAGTAGTTAAATCATTAACACAGATAATACAGTGATAATGGAAGAGGCTCGAATGTCAGGGTGAAGTGGTAGACATATTTTTACGTTCGGAGAGCTCTAGATTCGAGTCTGGGCCCACAGACCAGCCAAAAAAAAAACTGAGGAGTTTGATTCTTTTCCTCATTCTCCCCATGCAAAATGAAAGTATGTCAGTTTTGTGCAGTTCATGTCCGCTTATATCTACCCCCTGTCCAATTCGTCATTCCGTAAGAAGATAAAAAGACACGTTAAGCAAGTGAAGACTCTATCACAGTGACAATTACTCCGGAATCCTTAGCCTGAATTAACTGACAGGAAGCATAACATTTTTCAGTTTCGATATAGAAGGGACTGAACAAAACAACAGCTTCTTACAAATAGTTTTATTTTTGTCGGAAATTTAATTTATTCGCCATAACCGTGTCATGTCATACACAGTACTCGTGTAACAAGTTCTTTTCATTGGAGTTATAAGGAAGAAGTTCAGCAACTTCTGATCTGCTCGTAATTTGATTGTAATAACTTGGTACGAGCTTCGAGAGGTGACTTAAATCAGCAGTACTCAGAACTATTTTATACGTTAGGCTACACCTACTCGGATCCTGTCAAGCGGTGTTTGTAAAGTAAATGCTTCTTTTTTTATTGCTAGTGGTGTGGGACTAAGTCCCTTGTACTGCTGCCACTTCTGGCCTATTGTACCAGCCCCAGATGATAGGTGAGGGTGATTGTGAAGCAATTGGTGGAATGAAGACTGACAGGGGAAACCGAAGTACTCGGAGAAAACCTGCCCTAGCGCCACTTTGTCCACTACAAATCCCACTTGACCACACGCGGGTTCGAACTCGGGCCGCCGCGGTGGGAAGCCATCGACTAACCGCTTGAGCTATGGCGCGGCCTGGACTTCAGTCTTAGTAAGCAACTGGTACTGAGTTCAAAATTTTGAGATATGTTACTACACATAAGGGTTTAATATTTTGAGGAAAATATCTTAGCTAACTCTCAAGAATTTAAGTAAGATAATTTACAATATTTTTCGTGCAGTGCAATGAAGTTTTGAAAAGTACAGGGTGATATCTACATATCGAGACAATGGATGGCACCATTAATCACAGCTGTTCACTAAGAACGTGTTACCTAACGTCTTAATACAGTAGTCATGTCCCCTTTTGCACAAGCAGGTACAGTCCGGGTAAAACCTCAACAAAGGAACTGTAGATATCGGATGAAAATTTTAGTGAATATTGTAATTATTTCTGACAGATACTGAGATAATACCTTAGAAGAAGCCACGCACTTTCCAACTATAACTTTGTAACCAGCCTGCTCTCACTCTTCCTGAGCTAGCTCAGGAATTAAGGCAGTTGCTCAATAATATGTATGTCAAATTCTATGATATTCCGTACTGATGTCAAGTTGTATTACTTGTTGGGGTTTTTTGAATTTCTCAAGCAGAAATTCTTTAATTAAATTCGGTCTTAAACAACGTGCATTTTCTTAGCTTTTATTACAAGCTTTCGTATACGAATGCCACTTATATTGCGTATTTTAAGCACGTTTTATAGTAAAAATTACGTAGCGTCGGTTAGTAAAATGGCTGTAAAGGATGAATCGGAAAATACATGGGAGGAAGCGGAAGTAGCAAATATCGAGGTACTGAGCGTATGATTTCATAATACGTTACTACAATAAGTATATTAGGGTCTATATAAAAATCGAACATAAATTTTCATAACGGACATAAATATTTATACACTTAATTTCTTTCGGTGGAAAGAGTTTGTAGAACTGAAGACTAGACCTTTGCACGAAAGATGCTTTTCCAGCAGACTGTGAAATACGAGTATCTATACAATTTTCACCCCTTTCAGAGGTCAGCACTTATTACTTTGACATACAACCCTCTTTAGGTTTTCTTCTTTTCTGACTTTTAAAATATGTTCCACCTTTTCTTTCGCTTTTTTTACCAACATAGGAAGACAAACAAAGGTTTGTTTTGTCGTAATACTGATTTTTCCTCGCGAGCGGAATATCCTGATCTCTAAATATACATTTTTATCTCGCAATTCCAGGTTGATTCCCCAGGGTATAAAACTGTATCGGTAAGAAAAATACAAATTATATTAAATAAGGGCCCCGCCATAGCTCAAGCGGTTAGTCGCCGGCTTCCCACCGCTGCGATCCGGGTTCGATCCCGGGTCTGGTCAAGTGGGATTTGTGGTGGACAACGTGGCGCTGGGGCTGGTTTTCTCCGAGTATTTCGGTTTCCCCTGCCAATCTTCATTCTACCAATTGCTCCATAATCACCCTCACCTATCATCTGGGGCTGGAAAAATAGGCCAGAAGTAGCCGCAGTACAAGGGACTTAGTCCCACCTCACTAGCAATAAAAAAGATATTAAATAAGGTTCCTATTTCTTTCTTCTGGCTCTCAACAAATCTCCGACAGGACGGAATACATGAGCGCACACAACCTGGAATTAGGATCAATTCAGTTTCTGTCATAAACCTAGTTAAAAATATAACTGTTAGTCTTTGTGAATGTTAACGACGTCGTTGCATAAATCACTGGTAAGCTTATACTGGGTGTCATAGAAGAACACTACGCACAATGCGTTTTGCTATAACTATTGTGAAAATACTATGGATTCAATAGGAGCAAGATGTTAGATCCACAGTTCATGTCTCTATTCACACATGAGTGTGACGGTTATACTTATATATTTTTCCAGCATTTTGGCATAATCTTTAGAGAAAATTGGGTATAAATATGGAAGGAAATACTGTATTTCTGGTGCAGACAAAGAGTTGTGACAAGTTAACATTCCCAAAAGAAAAATTTTATGGAAATTAACTGGAATATCCTGTCGACATTAAATAAATTACGGAGAGGCAGCTTTAAGCGTGAGTATATAAGTTTTCTTCTTAAACTCAATTTTAGTGAAACCGATACATGCTTTGTCATTCTCAGCAAACTACGCAACCAACTGTGTAGTCATTTTCAGCGAAGCAAAACGTTTTATTTAACTGTCGATTTGTCCTTCCTTCGTTGGACTTAACTAGACTCTACATAATTTTCAACTGAAAGCGACTAGCCTGCAGAAGGAGAGCGAACTGAAAGTGAAACTTCACCCGTACGAAGCGTGCCAATTTCTTGCACACCACCCTTCACTAACGGCAGAGGTTACATTCCTGAACAACACTGCTGGGGCAATATTACAACACTTTATGGGAAACTGAAGAATAGTGGCTGACGTCAACACTCGCCAAAACTGAGTTTCTTGTTCTTTCATTTAACTCACGAACTACTTAACAGGTTAGACAAAAAGTTAAGAGAAGCCACAAAAAGACGCAACGCGGCTGTAATCTGGAAGCTGGAAAATTGATGGCGGATGTCGCTGATGATCTGTCCCAAACAAAAGCGAATCTGCTGGTCCTGAAGTTACGAACTTTTCTGGGTGCACAAAAATATGAAAGCGTGAACATACTGCCACGTATTTGTGTGTGTGTGACTTATAGACGGGATATGGATTGAATACTGAATTTATTGTTCATTTCTATACACCACTCGAAACTACACTTTACAGATCGCTGACACACACAGACTACTGTCCTCAATTTATTACAGTTTTCATTAGCCGTTTCCTAGCAATAGACTTAACACTGAAGATTCTTCAGCTTCCGTTGTCATGCCGTTGCAGCTGGTTGACACTCCAGACTTGAATTCATGGCGCCATCTCTTCAGTTTCCCTTGCAGAGCCCAGTTCTCGACTAACTGCTCACTTGGGGCGCGCCATAGCTCAAGAGATTAGTCGCTGGCTTCCCGATCCCGGGTCTGGACAAGTGGGATTTGTGGTGGACAAAGTGGCGCTGGGGTCGGTTTTCTCCGAGTACTTCGGTTTCCCCTGCCAATCTTCATTCCACCAATTGCTCCACAATCACCCTTACCTATCATCTGGGGCTGGTACAATAGAGCAGAAGTGGCCGCAGTACAAGGGACTTAGTCCCACCCCACTAGCAATAAAAAAAACTGCTCACTTGAAACCCGGAACTCGACTGCTGAGTCTGAGTTTCAGTCTCATGTTACGACCGATGGTCAGTCGGCCACTTTGTCTTGGAATAAAGCACCCATCTGAGGCTTATGGCCAGATTTTTATTACTGTCAGACAATTGTGGGTTTCTTGATGTGAGGCGCTCTCTCTGACGAGAGGACGGGTCTGTCGTTTACAATTGCTCCTGGGCGTCATCAGCGCAGACATTTTCGGGTCCCAGTTCCTTGGGACTCGTGACCATACTTTACTGTCTCAGATATGAGACTTCCCTTTCCTTCGCGTCCTACGACTCGCAGGTTTACGGTGGAGGTATTCGAACCCGAATCCTCATGGGAGACTGTATGTTCTCAATTGAAATCTACAGAGTCGTTGCTTAGCGATGAACGTCTCCTCGAGCTCCATTATTCCCGCCTTCAGGCGTCATGTCATAAT